GGCATCTTGTGACACCTTGCCAGAACCGATCCAATCAGTCCGCCAGCCGGGAAGCCAAAGCTTCAACGGGAATGCAATCACACCCTGAAAAACTCGGCTCGAATAAACGGTCTTTTACGACCGACACTAAATAGAACGTACTAACTAAAAGGTCTAGACAATTTAATCACTCAAACAGAAACATAATCGATAGACTATTGTCAAGGAATTTACTCGGCCGTCGCATAAGAAATGGATAAGTAAACAAAGGGCCCCGTTTCCCGCGAAGCCTCATGACCACCTTAGCAACGGTTATCGCCTATCGGGTTTTATGTAAACCCATAGCTGAAAAAATGGGCCTGCTTGTTTTGTCCTGCTACCTCTTTATCAAGGTTATCGAATAAAGGAACAGAGAGGGCGACCTGCATGAAGAATGGGAATGGGAATGGGGGTGGAGGGGGGGACAGGAGGCTTGTACACGTCGCAACCGGCTAACAAACCTGGACCTGGTTCCTACATTGCATGTCCGCACATATTAAGGTCCAGCCGACTGGACGAATGAACGAGCGAACGGACAAGCCATGACGAAGGAAGCAGAATGGAAGGGTAAGTTGTCGTCGCAAATAACAACATGCGACACGTGCGGGAAAGGGACGAACGATGCTTCCAGAGCCGCCGCCGTCGCAGGATCTAAACAGGACATGCACGGTACTCCGTACTGTTCTGACAGTATTGTTCTGTATGTAATGTACAGCACAGGCCAGCCAGAGCAGAAAGTTTTCCCATCGGATGAGCGATAAAACCAAAACAAACGGGGTATTCGTAAGAGCAGAACTTGACTCGAAAAAATAAAAATAAAATAGAAGAAAATAAAATAAAATAAAACAGAAAAGGTGTGGCAGAATAGAAAGCAATCGAAGATAACTCGAATAAGCTCGGAAAAGGTGTGCAGAAGAGCAGTCAGTCGATGGGGAGCGGTCAGTTGTTCTGCTATAAAGCTGATTCCCCCCGCCAAAGTTGTTTTCCCCGTTCAGCCACCTCAGTTTCCCCCCAAACAATCTCCCACTCGACTTTCCTCCACCTCCCATCGCTCAAACTACATACTTCCTCTCCTCCCCTTTCACAGAAATCATCTGCTCAATCTTCCGTCGCGGTCATTCGTAGAATCCACTTCCGCAAAAACATTCCCGACTTTCCGATCGCAAAGGTTTTATAATCTTCTTTATCAGAAAGGAAGTTTTCCTATTTTCTTCCGCACCCACGTAAAAAGGCGAAAAACAGACAAGGGAAAGGAAAAAAAACAGAACCCGACCTTTTCTGTCTTCCAACTTGCAAAACCTCCATCCCACCACTTCCATCAACCAAAACTATCTCCTCCTCCATTCATCTCTTCCACCACCTCAGAAACCTACAAATCCAAAGGATCTATCTATAAAAAAAAAAACTTCAATACAATGGCCCCCACAACCGGTTCCAATACTACAGCTGCCAAATCTGGCCCGGGTCGCAAGAAGAAGTCCGCCACTCCAGCTGAACCAACCCGCCGATCTACTCGCGCAGTTGTTCCACGCACCATATTTTCATCCGGTGTGACTAAGCCAAAGGCTGCACCGAAGAAGAAGAAGACAGCCGCTGTTAAGGAAAAGATTGTCGTCGCCGCTAAGAAAGCAAAGGAAACCGTCACCAAGAAGAAGCCGGGTCCCAAGCCTGCAGCTGCTAAAAAGACCAAGTAAGTCATATATCTCCACTTCGCACTAAACGGTCCAACAAACACGATACCCCATCAAACTCATCACTTGCATATGCAATCAAAAAAACGCAAATTTCCGAGCATCGCACTAACTAGTGCTTTTATCAGAGCTTCCGATGCAAAGACCACCAAGAAGACCAAGACAAAGGCTTGATTAAAATCACTTTAATCACCTACAACTGAATCTTCACCGCTTTTCTTCTTCTTCTCCACTTCTACGTGATGTTTGGATTTAACACGTGAAAAGCTATAGCTGCTTCACCTGTTTTTACCAACCTCCCATTCTTCCCGTCTTACTAGGTTTTATTGGCATCGTGATGAAAACATCAACGCAGGTCTGAGACCTCATCTCTTCTTCCTTGTTTTCTTATCAATTCTGATTCCTTTGTAAGATAACTCATGTTTTTCCCGCCTGTCTCTTTTTTCCTCTCTGTCCGGTTTCTCCCCTTTTTTAAAAAACGCCTGGCCTTGTTCTTTCCTCTCCCCCTACATTTTTATATACGGGGTGCAAAAAGGATCAACCGGATAGTTTTTGGGCGAACAAGAAGTTGCTGGAAGGGTTATTAGTATACTCGTTTCTGATTGCTTCAAAATCGTGTATACCATTGATTCTCAGCGCTTTCATCTGAATTTTTTTTTTTTTTTTTTATAGGGGGGGTTTTAACGTTTCTGCTTTTTATACTATTACTACTCTGTTTAACTGTCCATGCGATCGGGGTTTGTGTCCACGGAGGGAATTGTGCATGCATGCATTGTTATTCGGTTCTTTGGTTTCTTTTTCATTGTCTCTTTTTTTTTTACCGTCTCCTCTTCATCCGACTACTACATACGCTCTATCCTCAACCTCGTCTCCCTCTCCCTCTCCCTCTCCCTCTCCATCTCCGCCGCCAATACGTCACTCCACCCGCCTCGAACACACGTTCATACTTTGTACTATCGCTCACCTTTGACTCTGTGATACCAAATGAAATGATAACTATCTTTTTTTGTACTCAAAAACCATGCATTCACTATCGTTTGTTCTGTAAATTATGTTATGATATATAAGCTAGGAGGGGTGGATGAAGACGAGAATAGAATCAGAGGAAGAGCTAGGAGGGGATTACTTTTGATAACTTCTAGATGATGAATAGTAGATATGTTAAACTGTCCCCTTAGAAATACTGTAGGTCGATAACCACCTAGGCGTCCTCTAATGGCTACTTAGTCGTTAAACTTACCATGGTCCGATAGTTCGCTGTGATCAGTTAGTTCCGAGAGGCCGGTTTGCATACACCAGACTATTTGCATACATATGATGCAGCTAAGCCTCTCACCGCCTCGCTCGCAATCGAGCTACCCAAGAGACCAATGTAACCAGGGAGGTGTACTATCTAAAATCGGGCATTCTAGTAGAACGAGATACCTTTTAAGTATTCTTTATCCAATCTCTTCTTTCTATTTTTATCGTTTTAGATATACTACAGACCGCTCAGAACCATAAAAAAATCAAGATATTTACACAAAAATGCAAATTGAAGGGGAAGAAACACCGAGCTTCCTCCTGAATTCGAGGATAAGCTTCCTCAACCTAGAGGAAGGAAAGAAAGGGTTAAAAACAAATTTTGTATTCTCATTTAAAAGAATACAAAAAGACTACTTCCTATACCACATTCTCGTAATCTATTACCCCCCCAAAAGACACCCCGTTAGCAAAATCCGCCTTCAAAAAATAAACTTAAAATAGCAAAAAAAAAAAAAAAGCCACTAACCTTCGTATTCCTCATCTTCTTCTGCAACTGCATAATCCCATACATCAAAGCCTCAGCCGTCGGCGGACACCCAGGGACATAAATATCAACCGGCACAATCCGATCACACCCTCTAGTAACACTGTAACTATAATGATAATACCCACCACCGTTCGCGCAGCTGCCCATGGAAATAACCCACCGCGGCTCACTCATCTGGTCGTAAACTTGTCTTAAAGCCGGCGCCATCTTATTCGTGAGTGTGCCGGCTACGATCATAACGTCGGATTGACGTGGTGAAGCACGGAAAATGATGCCGAGACGATCTTGGTCGTAACGTGGGGTGGAGAGATGCATCATTTCTACGGCGCAGCAGGCGAGACCGAAGGTCATGGGCCAGAGGGAGCCTTGGCGGGCCCAGTTTGCGATGGCGTCGAGGGTGGTTCTGGAGAGAGGGGTGGATTGTTAGTGGGTGGATGTGCTGGTAATGAGGGGGTATATGTAAGGGACGTACAAGGCATAGTCGACGACGCCTTCGGGTTTCTGCTGGCTCGGGAGTGGGACTTCGCGTCTGACGACGCTGGTGGAGCGCTGGGTCGAGAGACTGGAAGAATCGCGGTGAGGCTGGACTGCTAGAGCAGGGACGAGGGATGCTGGAGTATAGTTAGCGGTCAATGGGGTTCTTCAGGAGGGTATATGGGGTGTAAGTGGGAGGCAAAGCATACCTCGAGGAATGAGGGCGGCAGCAGCGCTCCTGGCCGCCAGAGCACGTCGTGGTATTATCGAAGCCATTGTCGAGATGTTTGATGGTAATAAGAACCGGGCGAGGAAGCACGGTGGCGGGATGGAGGGGGGGGTTCGAGAGGCTTTTGGGGGGTGGCGGCTGGCGTTATAACATTTGGCGGGTGTTCTTGAGTTTGGAGGTTGAGGTTAGCGGAAGTGGACCCATGCCGTCACAAATGAAATCGCCGGCCTCCCATTGGATGGAGACAACGTCACGTGGCGATTCTCCAACACACAAATTGCAACATCTCGATCCACATGCTTTGATATCGACAACGTCAAAGAAGTAACAAGTTTGAGTGATTGATATGAGTAAGTACACCGGCATTTGGTGGGATTGTCTACACATGAGTGGGTTTTCAATTACATTTTATCTTTGATTGGAAGAAAGCATAAGATAATATATTAAAGGTAGATTGTTCCATGAAGCAGAAACATACGGCATACATACTGCATCTATGCAATTGATGCAGTCCCGGAATCACAAAGACTAATAATGGTACGCTACTAGTTATAATAAGAAATAAGCCTATCTCTACCAAGAGTAGACCTTTCCACTTTCTTTGTGTCGGTTTCCCGCCTTAATGTTACAGAACATCCAACAACCGCTGCACCAACCCGCCGAACCCACCACACAACCACCCGCATCGGCCGATCCCCACACCATCGCGATCCCCATCGACACCTCAACCACGGCAAACAAAAAAATAAAACTGCTCAGCAATCAACCCAAGTAAAAAGGTAAAAAGTTAAGGTGCTGCCCGCGGTCGGGTTCGAACCGACGATATCCAGAGGAATCCTGGTCCTAAATCTGGGACCGGTATTGTGATTCTGGCGAGATGACCACTACTCTACGCGGACCTTTTCTTATTATGCGGGGAAGTTAAGGGAGGGGGTATATATAGTTGATTGTGATTTTTTTTGCGTACTGCTAACAAACTTCTTAGGGATTTGGTTTGCTCTTTTGTGTCGGAGCGCTCTTTATCGATCGTACGCCTGATCAAGAGCTGCGATGAGGGAGAAGGAGTGAAGGGGTCGAGTTGCTAGAAGAAATTTACCTACATGATTACTACCGCTGTTTATGCGATCTTGCCTATGCATAACCGTACCTTGAAATAAGATTCGGCAAAGATCGAGAGCAGAGACTTGTCCCATAAACCAAGAAGCCCGAGCTTGCGCACAGCGGACATCTCAAATACTGGAGCAGGTATAACCACCTCATATTAAGACCTTGGGTGGTAAAACATTGAATTCTATCCGGCCATGAAGTATACTATCAAGAAATATGCATACTTTTACTCCTCACATTTTAGCAACAGCACTCATTCACTATTGAAATGCGCACCAATATAATCATATCATATAACTACCCCTCCCCTCCCCTCAAGATATCTGCAAAGGAGGAGGAGGCGAAGGAGGCAAAAGTCCAAAGTATCATATTTCAGAATGTACATAAATACGAGCGCCTGTATTCAAGGCTACATAAATACATTTAAAAAAACGCAAGGGAGAGAGAGATGTGGGTCAAAAAAAAGCCTTTGCCCAACCAAAAAAAAAGACATGAGGTTACGGTGTCGCACATTTCAGAAAAGCAGAAGAGCTAGCTATCGGTCGGTTGGTAAGGAGACGAGAGAGAGAAGAAGTAGTAGTAGTAGGAAAATAGAAGTAGAGAAGAAGCGTTAAGGTAGTTAAAACCCGCCCAATAAACGTAGAAGAGAGAGAGGAAAAAAAGAGAAGAGTCTTACACGAAACCAATCGATGAAACGAATCATGGAAAGGTTTCCTGGAAGACCCTTCTGCCGCACCCTTGGTATTTTTTGGAATTGCAAAAAGAAACAAGTGGTTGGCATGTCTACACAGTTGTAAGATGGTAAGAAAACTGGTAACAAGGAAAGGACAAAGAGACAGGTAGTTTCCGTCCTGGTAACAGGGAAGGACATGAATATAAAAGGAGATTGAATTTGCTCGCTCTGGATTGCTTGCTTGCTTTGGAACATTCGAAACGGAGGACGAGGACCTTTTGATCCCGGATCCCTGTACAATAAAAAGGAAAAACAGACCAAAAAGAGGAAACAAAAGCACATGTATTAGATGCAAAGCAGGAAGGATTTGTTTTTGGTATATAATCATTCCAAGTGTAACAGAATTAACGCCCATCTAACGTCGACGAGTCATGCGGAATTCCTCAACCCATAAAAGCACAAGCCTGAAAGAAAAACAGAACATCCCATAAACAAAAAAACAGGAACAAAAAATTATGCTTGAAACAGATAGACTGTCAGCAAAGGAAAGGCAGATTTGTCTCATAAATCAGATCAGGTGAAAACCTTGGAGAGGCTTTGGGCAGTGGTTTATTAGGTGAACAGCGATGGTCTGCGAACCAGCTGTGGTGGTAGAAACGACATGCGGTAATGGCAAGATGAAAATCAGGAAAAGACGTTAACGCCAGACGAATTCCGCATGACTCCCCGACCCTAGATTTTCTTTTTGTCGTTAAAACATTTCCGTGCAAAGTGGCCGTTACAATGGGAAGAATACAAGTTTTAAGAACATATAAGAAAGTAAAGGAGATGGAGGAAAGAGGTGATTAGGAAACGAAAGGAGATATGAGATTAAAAAAGGGAATGAGAAAGAGGAAATCGTAGGCGCCGCACGCTGGCATACGCGCGCTAGCGCGTAGGAGCTAATGCAGACACCGAGTATTCGGTTCTTAGGCCTCGGGGCCTTACTCGTGCTCCATGATACCTTTGATGACTTTGGCAGGATTTCCTGCGACAACGGTGTGAGGAGGAACATCCCTGGTGACAACAGCGCCAGCGCCGACAGTTGCACCCATGCCAATTTTAACGCCGGGGCTATCGAATGTTAGCATAGAGCCTCGACTTGAGAATTAAAATTAACGAAAATGCTTACAGAATAGTGACGTTTCCGGCAATCCAGCAGTCTTCTTCAATGACTACAGGCTTGCCAAACTCTGGACCCTTGGTTCCGTTACGGGTCCTAGGGTTAAGGGGGTGGGTGCCAGAGTAGATGTTTACGTTTGGCCCAATGAGCGTTCGGGCCTTGATGGTTACCTGGTTCGGTTGTTAGTTTGAATCTCAATAACAATGGGAATTTCTAGAAAACCTACGGAGCAGGTGTCAATGATGGTGCAACCAAAGTTGATAAAAACACCGGGGCCGAGAGTGATATTGTAACCGTAGTCACACATAAAGGGGACCTCGATCCATGGCTCCTCGTTAACCGGGTAAACGGGGTCTTGCATTCCCAAGTTCTTCCTCAGATGAGCGTTTGCAATATCTCCGTGCCAGGCGGTTCCTTGAGGGCCTCTAGTCCCTGCGGATGGTCTAAAGATTTCCATCTGTAGACGCAACTTCTCCTCACGCGAGATGCACAATGTGGGATTAGCGGCATTGTTGAACCTCCAGCATGCAGCGCGGCATCTCTCTCGCTCTTCAATCAACTCAGGCGTAAATGCATGGAAAAGATCGCCGTTAAGCATCCTTTCCTTCTCAGTAGAAGAGAATCTCTGAGGGAGTGGCGGCTGTGGTGGAACTCGTGGACCGGAGAATGGGGAAACCTGAGATTGCTGAGGCTTCGGTGGCTCTGGGCCTGGGTGATGTTGGTTAACTCCGGAGTCCCGTCGAAGGGGTTGGACCTGTGGTGGAGGAGCAGGGCCAGATAATGACAGCCCTGTTGCGCCGAATGGCTTTGGTTCGGGTGGCATAGTAGTCTGTTGAATGACAATAGGCTGAGGAGGCTGAGGGAGCTGATGGCGGGAGTAATCCGGTGGAGGAAGTTGCTGGTAAGAAGAAATGAGACTTGAAAGGTTACGGACAGGATGGGGATATAAATGCCACTTACAACTGGACGTTCTTGTGGGTTTCTCATGACTGGAGTAGTCATGGTAGCAAAGCTGGCGTTAATAGGAGCTGGACCGTTTGCCAAGATCGAATCAGCTTGTTGGCCTTGTGCAAAGAGGGAGCCGGATGCACCAGAGTTGGTTGACGCGGCGTCGTTATAGAGATGTTGAGGATGTCCGGGAGCGTCGGTGGGAGTGAGTGGTCCCAGAAAGGGATTAATCTTACCAGCATATCCACCACAAGTAAATCCTCCACGCTTGCAATTATTGCCTAGTGTTTGCCATGTTATTAGCCGTCTCGTTCGGTACGAATAGAGAAAAAAAATGATCGGTTTGTACTAACAATGAGGCTTGCCCTCGTCACACTTCTTCTTCCTCCGTCGGCACGTAATACAGCCGGTTTTGGTCCTGTTACTAAAGATACGCTTCCGCTTCGTTTCAGGTTGGCCGGGAGTAGTCGGGCCGTTCCCGTTGATAGTGGTCATGTTTGGGGACATGTTGGGGTTGTATGAACGGATATGGTCGCTTTGTGGCGTCCCTTGGAGTTGCTGTGCGACATGAGCCTCATATGCTTGTTCTCTGTTTCGCATATCCTCCAATTTGGCGGCTTCCTCACTAGCTCTTTGGGCAATATGCTCAGGGGCATGGCGGTCCGGCATGACTTCATCTCGGGGTCCATCAGAGACATCCACCATACGGGTGTCGTTGGTCATCGGCATGCTATGGCCATGGTACTGGGGATGGACAATCTCAGTCGACATCTCCCGGATCTGGCCGTAAGTTTCGACACGGTTGCCGGCCTCGGCGGAATTCGATCTCTTCCGTTTCTGAATGTTACTCTCAGGGCTTCCTGAGGGGCGTACAGACAAGGGCCTGTTATCGGCAGCGGCCTGTGCGTACTTGGGGTCGGGATGGGAGTTCGGGGTGACGGGAGATTGAGCGTTAGAACCAGTGACGTCGCTGTGGTCGCCGGTGTCCTCGTCCCCGCTGCCGGACTGGGAAGCGTGAGAAGCAGTCTGGCTACGGTGACCGTGATGCGCGTTGTGATGGTGGTGGTTGTTTTGGAGTTGGAGTTGATGGCTGGGAGAGTGCACCTGAGGCGCTGAAGGTGGCGACGGCCCCGCGACTCGGATCGATTCTGCCGGCCGCGGATTTGAAGTTGAGTTTGAGGTTCCGTTGACAGCGGTGAAGGTCGAGCTGGCGGAAGCCTCACGAACAGGAGGGTGAGCGCTGGTCCCGTTGGCGGAGCCGTTCGTTTTACTAATCGTGTGGTCTTCAGCGGACGGCGACATACTTTTTGTTCTTGGGGGGTTGGTTATGCTATGTTCGGTGCCGCGATGCTACTACTACGACTCTCCGGAATTTCGGCGCGTACGATATCCAAAAATCCTCCCCGTCTCCAGATTCACGGCCGCTACGGTCTGAGGGGGGTTATACTGGTGGTGATGGCTATGGATTGGAAGGGTCGATGAGAGTCGTCCTACGGTGCCGGAAAGAGGAGAAGCCCTGGAACGGGAAACCTTTGCTAGCCGCCGGGATTCCGTACGATTCAGACAGAACTGTTTAACGTCAAAGCAAATTTGCCTCGAGGCGATTTTCAGAGTTTTTGACCTTTTGCGGCAGATTCAATGTCGAAGCTTATATATATCCGCGCGTGTGTCGGAGAACTAGTCGCTACTCGATGGCCGAAGATGCTAGATGAGGGATCCGATGCGAGATGAGAACGGTGACGACGATGATGATTATGGGAATGAACTGTTTCTTCCTAAGTTATGTGAGTACGGATGCCCCCGAAGAACGACAGCAGAAAGGATAATATAAAAAAGAACAATGTATGCTGAGGAAGGATGCTATAAAACTTCAAGATAACGACCGAAATGAATGTGGGCGGTCGAGCTTTTGGCGCGATGCAATCCGGCCCTGAATGGCTTCGAAATGACCTCGACCAATGCTTCTCCTGCTTCTTCTGACTGGCGGTGGAAACGGATTTCCGAAGCGG